GTTTTGGGACTACAACTCCCATGATCCCTAGCTAACAGGACCAGTGGTCAGGGATGATGGGAATTGTAGTCCCAAAACATCTGGAGGGCCGAGTTTGCCTATGCCTGTTCTAGGGACCTCACTCACAAAACCACCACCTTCTGGGTAGAGTGCTGGGACAGCCAGGCGTCTTTCACACTATCTCTTGTTTGCTGCTGACACGTGCAAGAGAAGAGTGGAAGTGTTTTGGAGAATATCTTAGAGGATACAATATTCAATTCAATTCAACCTGCATGTAGGAGTTAACACATGAGCAGCAGATACTATAAAATAAAGGAAGATTTGAGATGAAAACAGGTGGAATATCAGGATATGCAGTTGACCAAGGTTCATTTAGAATGCCATGGGGAAATGGACTGGGAAGTCCTAGGAAAAAGGATAAATGACAGATATTGTATGATGTGTGTATAAAAGTTGTAAAAAATGCATTAAAAAATTAAAAAGGGAAGAGAAATGTTCCAATGGTTTCTCAAGAGTAGGGACTGCCATTAGCGATGGCAATGGGTGCATCTGCTGTCTTCTTTTGTTTTGGGATTAAGGAAATGGGGAATGGGGCAGGGCGCAGATGAGATAGAGATCCCAGAAAATTCCCCAGAAAAATGGGGAATTTTTGGAGACATTTTGACTCACCAGTAATCCAAACAGAAAGGATTTCCTCCGGCGATCAGTAATTAACTTGTGGGATCCAATGTGAAGACGGTCAGTTCCCAGTACGAAGCTGTACCTAATGTTAGGAATCCTCAGAGTAGACCCATTGAAATTAATGGGCATGGCTAATTTAGAGTCATTATTTTCCATAGGCCTACTCTGAGTAGGACTTAGTTGGCAACAACATGTGGCCTTTTCGGAGATAGGGGCTTGGCTCCAGCAGAGTCTCATGAAGGCAGTCAGGACAGATTATTGTGGCAGCATTAGGGCCAACCAGACAAATCACTTAATCATTTCCATATGATACTGTAATCCTTGCATATTACAGAGGGAGGTAGGGAGTGATGCTGCTGCTGGTGGGACAAAGAACTTAACAAAAACAGAAGCCATAACTTCTTTAAATCTGTCCCAGGTTCTATGGAAGATGACAGCTTGGCTATAGGTGTAACCTAGGCAACAGATACTGGGAACATTTCCTCAAGGAAACCGGTTAGCTTGCATGTTTCTAACTAGGCATCAGAATACAACTTTAAGCTAGGGCTGCAAATTTCATTTGAGAGGTCACAGAATCACAGAGTAGGAAGGGACCCATGGGTCATCTAGTCCAACCCCCTGCAATCCGGGAATTTCAGCTAAAGCATCCCTGACAGATGGCCAGCTGTCAACCAAGCAGAGATTTACAGTGAAAATCCTCCCAGGAAGAACATAAGATGGACCTGCTGGATCAAGCCAATGGCCCATCAAAATTCAGCATCCTGTTTTTGCAATAGCCAACTAGATGATGATGAAGAAGAAGAAGAAGAAGAAGAAGAAGAAGAAGAAGAAGAAGAGGAGTTTGGATTTGATATCTTGCTTTATCACTACCCGAAGAAGTCTCAAAGCAGCTAATAATCTCCTTTCCCTTCCTCCCCCACAACAAACACTCTGTGAGGTGAGTGAGGCTGAGAGACTTCAGAGAAGTGTGACTAGCTCAAGGTCACCCAGCAGCTGCATGTGGAGGAGCGGAGACGCGAACCCAGTTCACCAGATTACGAGTCTACCGCTCTTAACCATACACCACACTGGCCTATTGGAAGCCCAGAAACAGGACTTGAGTGCAACAGCATCTGGTATTCAGAGGCATGTTGCCAATGTAGAACAGAGAACCATGTCTGGTAGCCACTGATAGACTTTACCCTTCGTGATTTCATTTAATCTTCTTTTGAAGTTGGTGGCCATCACTGCCTCCTGTGGGACTGAGACCCATAGTTCAACCACGCACTGAGTACATAAGTACTTCCTTGTCCCGAACCTACCAACATTCAGCTTCATTGGATGTCCATGAGTTCTGGTGTCACGAGAGAGGGAGAACAACTTTGAAAGTAGAGAAAGAACAGATTCATAAGGACTAGTAGCAATGGATAGCCTTCTCCTCTGTGAATTTGTCAGATCATCTCTGAAAGCCATTCAAGTAGGCACTGTTTGAACCAGCGCTTTATTGAGAAGCATGAGAAGTGGAATCATATTTCATATCTAGGGGAAAGACCATAGCTCAAGTCAGTCGGAGCAGGCAGAAGGTCGCAGATTGAATTCCCATGCTCTAGGCAGGGCTGAAAATGTCCCTCACCAGAAACATTACAGAGAGCCACAGCTAGTCAATGTAGACAATACTGAACTAGATAGACCAGTGATCTGACTTAGTATAAAGCAGGTTGGCTCCAAATATTTGAGGAAGGGCTATAGCTTAGCTGTGGAGCAGATGGTCCCACTTTCAATCCCTCCAAGAAGGAATGGGAATGTTTCCTGTCTGAAATCCTGGAGAACCAGTGAGTATAGACAGCTAGATGGACCAATTGCCTGACCCAGTATAATCCAGCTTCCTATGTCTTATAGGAAGGTGGGGTTATTCAAGGAGGCTTCCCCCTGTCCCACGAGAGCATCTTTCCCAAGGGACTTTCAAAACCTGGAGCCACCCTTGGGTAGGTCTGGTTTGGCTGAATGGGACTCAAACAAAGGACGTATCTTGTGGCTGCACTCATGAGTTTCCCATAAATCCAGCAGAGTCTGGCGATGGCATCACCGCACGCTGCTCTGCCTCTCGCTCCCAGGAAAGCCCGACACGGTATCTGTAATCCCCCAAAGAAATCTATCACAGAACTGAGCTGGGCCTCACACCAGGTCCATAAATTGTCTGCAAGGCAGGCACGGGCGGGGAGCTGACTGATTTATTTGGCCTGTGCTTTATGCTTTGAGAAAGAAGCCTGCCGGGCTAGGCGCTGTCTCCAGGCAGACGCCCCCTTTCCCAGGAAGGAAAAACCTGGGCTTTTGCAGATGTATGATGCAGATCTTTTGCCAGTAGCCAGTGGCTTTCTCCCACAGCTTGATGCAGGTGGGTGTCTGGGGTTTTCCATCTCAGCTTCTCCATCCCCCAAACCACTTCTATTGAGGGCAAAAGGATATGTGGATTTGAGTTCTCCCAGTTTCTCATGTTTTCAATCTTAAATTCAGTTCTCCACATTTCTGCAGCAATTTGGGATTTTTATTTTATTTTTATTTTTAAGAAAGATTTCCTCATGAAAATTTACCAGCATCTTAGTGTGGTTTTCTCTTAATAAACACATTTTATAAGCAGTTTTGACTAACCTGTATGTTTTGAAATAATTGGTTCCTAAGATTATGCCTTTTTATATACTGTTTTCATGAATAGCTTCCTTTTTATCCCCAATATATCTCCCCCATATATGCATTTTTGGAAGCATTGTTTTGCAATCTACATTCGGATAAGTGCAAAATTCAGATAAGGCGGATTTGATTGATTTGGCTTTAAATGTGTACTGTACTGAATCCAATTTCTCCTCTACCCTTAGTCTCTACTGTCCCCAAAACCACTCCTTATCTTCCCTTGCATTTATATAGAGCATTATTAGCAATACAATGCTCATGAATTTTCACTTTAAAAATGATTGAATCATGAATTGCTGCAAAAATGTGGAGAACTGAATTCAAGATCATAAAAATGAGAAATGAAGAGAAGAGAAATAGATAGATCTATCCAGCCTTGCCCACAGGTAAAAAGAGAGACAAATGTATCAGTCTCAGATTCAAGCCCTGTCTGAAACTATGGAGAGCCACTGCCTGTCATTTCAATAGGTTTACTCTAGGTAGGATTAACATTGACTACAACCCTAAACAAATTCTATTCCTGGCATATCTAGGTAGGGATCAGAACTCTCCTTTCTGAAACCTTAGAGAGTTGCTGCCAGTCCGTGTAGACAATATTCAACTAGACAGACCAATAATCTGACTTGGCATAAGGCACCTTCTTGCGTTCACTAGAGACATCTGTAAGCTTCAAGATGGAGCACATGGCAACACAGGGTGATTTCAGAGGATTTGCTTATTGATCATTTATTCTGACTTGTGTGCAGGGCGGTTAGACAGCATTGCGTGGCGAATCCCGCCCCCCACCAATTGGAATAAGTAAAGACACCGGACACCAGAGTTTAAGGTTAATGGGCAACAAATGGCCACAACTTTATTGGTTACAGGTAAGAGCGGTATTGGCTTTAGGCATTGGTCCTATCAGACTACCTGGGATAAAACCGGGAGGGGTTAACACCAACAGAGGGAGCCCCGGAGATGCACATCCCTAGGCATTCCCCGAGGGGTCACCGCTCGGGAGGGCGCTTTAGGCCCTAGCCTCTATAGGTTTCGGACGAGGCAACGCCCCCCGGAATCCTTTATCGGACTACCCTTAAATGTTTTGGGGGGGTGATGGCGCTTCTCCCCCCCGACTCATCAGCATAATGGAATGAAGAGGAAAAGGGGCGTTCACAGGCCACGCCGTCCTTAAATGACCCCCAGCTCCGCCCCCTGCAGCCAGCCGATTGGCTGGCTCAGGGTATGACGCGGCCCGAGGATTCCCTGATCTCGCGGGGCTGCAGCCAGCCCCGCGCGGATGTTAGTGGGCGTGAGCCCGCAACCCCCCCGATGTCGGGAGTGGCTTTGTGTCAAGCAAGCGCTTTACCACTCTAGTGCATTTCCGCATCACTTTCCTGCCTGCGAAAATGACAGATTTTGCGGAAACCAGGTCTGTTGTGCAAGACAGACAAATAAACTTCAGTTGTACAACCTCAATTCTTGATATGTGACCAAATCCTACCCCAGAATAACAACAGTCTGGAAGCACTCTAAGCTCAGAGAAGAAAGCACAGATCCCCATTGGTTAGAATGTAAAAATATGTCTTATACCAAGTCAGACCAACACTCCATCAAGCTCAGTATTGTCCACACTAACTAGCAGAGGCTCTTCAATGTGTCAGATGGGACATCATTGCCAGCCCCATTGGGGATTGAACCTGGGACCTTCTGCATGCAAAGCAGATGCTGTACCACTGAGCTACGTACGGTGCTTTCCTCCCAGGGGGAGTTGCTCCACACCCTTTATCATTTCGGTTGACCTTTCCGTTCCAACTTCTTTAAGGGGTGAAATACTTTGCATGAAACGCGGCTGGGAAAGGAGCTTCTCAGCAGGCTGGTTTCTCCTTGAGCTGCCCCCTTACCTTACACCCAGCATCCTCACCGCCAGTTCTGGCACGTGTGATTATAACCTAGTCTTCTCCCCAGATTCCGCCAGCCCCCACTTTCCTTTTGAGCAGCTGACCCATCTGTGGGGCGCTCCGGGGCTCGTAAGAGCTGTTTCACACTCTCTCATTCTCTCCAATGATCCTCGTGCTTGGCTCACGTTACCCGCCTCTGAAAGGCAGCCACCTCTGGGGTGCAATCGTTCTTTCCCAGCAGCCTCGAACGCAAGTGTGTTGATTGCTGCGCTCTGCAGTCTGGACACACACACACACACACACACACACACACACACTCCTTCTTCCCCTGAACCCATGAGGCGCAAACCTGATGGCACTCTGAGTCATCACCAGGTCTATTTGAACGACAAGGTGGACGGAGTTGTAACCCTGGCCGGGTGGAGAGCCGCTTTCTGACGGCTCTCTCTCCAAACCATTTGCCGCGATGGTTCCCTCAATCCACACCCCCTCCACGTCTGCCGGGGCCTATAAATCTGACGGTGCAAAGGCTGTTCCCTGCTTTGTTTCCTCGTCAAGTAGGACTGCTGTTTTTCTTGGAGGGCTGGACCACTGTAACCTTCCTTCAAGCACCTGCTCCTCTGCTGGAAGGCACATTCCTCAGGAGTGGTGCTAGGGGCCAATCCCACACAGGGGAGATTTTGCCGCTGGTCATGATGGCAGGTTGCACCCCCTCCACCCCACCCTCTTCCCAAAGACTCTGGGAGGAGAGGAGTTGCCTGCACTTTGCTGCATGTCCCTCCTGTGCTCCTTCTCCTTTGCTCTTTGCTAAAGATGGGCCATAGCTCAGTGACAGAGCATCCGCTTTGCATGTAAAAGGTTCAGTCCCTGCCATGTCCAAACAGGGCTGGGAGAGAATCCTTGTCGGAGATAGCGTCCGCCAGGCCGTGTGGACTCAAGATGGAGGAGAACCATAGAACTACAGAAACGTAGAGTTGGAAGGGGCCCCTACGGTCCTCTAGTCCAACCCCATGCAATGCAGGAACTCAGCCAAAGCATCCATGACAGACGGCCGCCCAACCTCTGCTTTAAAACCTCCAAGGAAGGAAAGATTCAGATTCAAGTCTCATTCAGATTCGGATTCAGATTGTATTCAGGTCTCTTTCGAAGCCGAATTGACTGGATTCGCCCTTTTCAAAACAATATGTGAACTGAAACACAATTTTGGGTCCTCTGCTTAAAGTCATTCCATTCCAGCTGTATCTAAGAAATAACACCCAAGTTTGTTCTTCTCCCCCTCTTCTGCCCCCTCTCTCCCAATCTCTTTTCCTTTTGTGTCCACTCTTAATGGAGTTGGGGCACAAACGCATGAAGATTGGCCACCCGCTGACTCTGAACTGAGACTTTCTGCAGAGCCATTTAAGGACACATACTCACCAGTTGTCTGCCTGCCCATGTGTCCCCACCCGTTTAGTTCTCAGCCTCCCCGTCCCCTTCACGCTGTAAAAATAACCAAACGATTGGAATTGATGGGAGAAGAAATGAATATGTAAAGCCCAGAAGGCTTTTGCTGCTTTAAGCTTCTGAGAATCTGGAATTATCTTTGGGGAAGCAGCAAGTAGCCGGCCTGTTCAGAGTCTTGAGGAGAGATTGCCAGGATTGGCCCCTTTGCTCGTCTTGTGGTGGGCAAGCTACCAAGGGGCCGAGCGCCAGCAAGATGCCTTTTAGCCCTTAAGCTCCGTGATATTAGCCTGTCTCTGGCAGGAAGGGCAATCAAAGTGAATAAGGAGATCTGCATTTGTGGCCTCTCCTGGCAGAATCCTGTGGTTTTGGAGTGCTTAATTCATGTGAGGAAAGTTAAAACAGGTTACACAAGATATTGCAAGCATGATGGATTTAGACCCCTTGCCTGTCCTTGGATCTGTCTCTAAATGCTTGGGAGGGAGTGCTGACTGCACCGCTACCATCCTTTAATCTGACTACCACACACTGGGTTGTAGGTGACTAAGTCCTACTCAGAGGAAACCCATTGAAATGACAGAACCTAAGGTCCTCTGAGTAGGACTAGCATTGAAAGCCACCAGTTGTTTTTATCATTAAAAAGTAAGATTTATATCCCAAACTGATATACATGGTTTATAGTTGAAGATGATCAAGGGTCTGGAAACCAAGCCTTATGAGGAATGGGGGGGAGAATTGGGTATGTTTAGCCTGGAAAGAGATGGAGAGGTGATATCATAGCTGTCTTCAAATATCTGAAAGGCTGTCACCTGGAAGATGGAGCAAGCTTGTTTTCTGTTGCTCCAGAGGACCCAAACCAATGAATTCAAATAACAATAAAGGAGATTCTGAGTAAACATTAGGAAGAACTTGTTGGCATTGAGAGCTGTTGGACAGTGGAACTGACTCCCTCAGAAGGTGGTGGACTGTCAGTCATTGGAGGTTTTTGAGTAGAGTTTGAATGGACATCAGACAGGGATTACAGTGGTACCTCGGGTTAAGAACTTAATTCGTTCTGAAGGTCCGTTCTTAACCTGAAACTGTTCTTAACCTGAGGTACCACTTTAGCTAATAGGGCCTCCCGCTGCCCCATGATTTCTGTTCTCATGCTGATGCAAAGTTCTTAACTAGAGGTACTATTTCTGGGTTAGCAAAGTCTGTAGCGTCTGTAACCTGAAGCCTCTGTAACCCGAGGTACCATTGTATTTAGCTGCAATTCCTGAAATACAGCGGCTTGTTCTAGAATGACCTTTGGGGTGGTACCTTACAACTCTACAGTTCTATGATTCCTCCTCCCCATTATATCCTTACAAAAAACATTACTGTATTTACGTGAATCAAATGTGCTCCTCAATTTCCAAAACACTGAAACCAAAAAAGGATTTCCTGGTGAATATAAATGTACCATCAAATCTAGTGTGTACCCTAATTTTTGTGATGTAATTTGGCCAAAAATGGTGTGCATTGCATTCAAGTAAATATGGTATATCCATACAAGCTGTCCTTTGAAATGCACACTTCCAGAATGCATGTTGAGTGCACAGTGGGGCTGGCAAGGGCTGTGGCCTGAGGATGAGGTTCCCTTCCTTGCTTTAGCCCTACAAATAAGGGAGATGGTGCCTTAGTACTTAGGGTCATAATGTGTCCTTGGGTTGCCCCATGTGTAAGGTGCTCTTACAGACTAGCATTTTCCCTCCTCCTTACAGGCTCATCCCTTGCTGAGTAAGGGCTTGTACGGGGTGGGGAAAGTGGCCCGCTGAACGTACTCCCCGCCCTGCAATATTGCTGCTCCGGCTGCCTGAGTGAGCTTTATTGTTTGCTTGTTGAGGTGTGAATGAAGTAATGGACCTTCTCTGCCACTACATCCATCTCCAGCTGACAGGCTGCCTTAGACACATTGTGTTGCTCTCCATAAACCTTGTCACCTTGCCATCTCCGAACAGGCTGCTTCCTCTGGGAACCTGCAAGCAGGCTCTCGCTGGCAGTCGGCGAACCCTGTCTGCGGGCTGTAAATCATGGCTGCTTTTACAGAAAAGCCCTGAGAGGAGAAAGGCATCCCGACGCCTGCCATTAGGCCACGGGGGCTTCCTCAGCCCTTTGTGCCTTTTGCAGCAAGGGATCATGGGACTTGATCATGACATGACGGTGCCTCCAATGGGTTCATGGTCTGCAGCCCTTCCACTGAGACTGCAAGGAGGCCATAAACCACCGGTGCAGGTCCGCAGACCGGATTCTTCCTTCCTCTACATCAGATCAATGTTGACAGGTGTGTGGGACCACCCACCTATCACTTACCTAAGTCAGGGGGGCGGAACCTCTGTCCTGGAGGCCCATCTCAGCTGCCAGGGAGTCAAAGTTGGCCTGCAGGGCCATTTCACCCAAACCACGCCCATTTGCCCATCAACAGATGTCTCTATTGATGTCAACTGATGGGAGGCAGAATGCGGTTGATCCCAGCAGGAATGCACAGAGTAACTGAGTAGGAGTTAGCCCCCACTCTTCAGCTGATGAGTAGGGGTTTATTTCTGCTCAGTGTGACAGGATTCTGTTATTCAGGAAGGGGCTTACTAAAACAGAGTGGGGACAACTTCATTTTAGCAGTAAGGTAAAGGTAAAGGGACTCCTGACCATTAGGTCCAGTTGTGGCCAACTCTGGGGTTGCGGCGCTCATCTCGCTTTATTGGCCGAGGGAGCAGCGTACAGCTTCTGGGTCATGTAGCCAGCATGACTAAGCCACTTCTGGCGAAGCAGAGCAGCGCATGGAAACGCCGTTTACCTTCCCGCCGGAGCGGTACCTATTTATCTACTTGCACTTTGATGTGCTTTCAAACTGCTAGGTTGGCAGGAGCAGGGACCGAGCAACGGGAGCTCACCCCGTCGCGGGGATTCGAACCACCAACCTTCTGATCAGCAAGTCCTAGGCTCTGTGGTTTAACCCACAGCGCCACCTGCGTCCCCATTTTAGCACTACCCTACCCTATAAAAAGCATTCTTCAGAACAGCGGTTTGCATGACCCACTGAGGAAGATAATAGAACAACCAAACTGGCAACAGAAACAATTAATTGCACATTCCTTCGAAATCCAATCCAGACTTTTAGGTTGAATTCAACAAAATTGATGAACTTCGTCCAGCGATGGCAGCTTTTCAAAGGCTGCTAGTTATGTACACCTTCACTGCCCCTCTGACGCCCCCTTGCCTCTTAGCGCTTCCAAAGGCAACCCTCCTCCAGGGGGCAGTACAGCCCACGTTGGGAATCGCTGCCCTAGGGGAACTTTCCTTCTTTAAAATCTTATTTTTGAATAATTTTCCAAACTATTCCATATATGCATTTTGCTATTCTCTCTCCCACCCCTCCGTGGTTTTCCTTGC